AGAGACAGGACCAATCGTCAAAATTTTGGTGTCGATCATTCGATTTCATCCTGGACACTACAGAAAATGGGCTAAAAGTGTTAAAAACCGGAATTTTCCTTTAATATACTGCAGGGTTCCTACAGCATAAGTTAAATTCAAGACTTTTTAAGACTTTTTAATGCCACTTGGAATAAAAATTTGAGACCAAATTTACAAGAAACACAAGAAAAACCTGCTTGCGACAACTTAACCCAAAGGTTTATTTTAACATAAACCACTGCACTAATGTTTCAAATTTTGAAAAGCTTCCCATACAGGAAGAAAGCTAAAAACAAACAAATGACATATATATTTTAACAATTATTTAACTGAATTCACAAACTTTGTTTTAGCAGGGAACAAAACAAATCAGTTTTAAAGCCCCAACATAACCAGTGCTAAGTCTTTTTTGCAGCTATTTTTCTTTGTATGGTTTTCTTAGTATGTTTGATTTGGTGATAAGTGGAGGCGTTGCAGAGACAAGGGTGGAACTAAACTGAGAAATACCGGCTGTTTCTCCGTAACTCCATTTTGATGCTTTGTGTTTCGTGCTTCGCATGTGCGACTCCACTGCCTTAATTCCCATCGTTCCGAACTTGAATCGCTTCTTGCACAAAATCCACTGAGCCTCATGTATGTTCCCTGGTTTTAGCCATGGAGAAAACTCTTGGCTGGAGACAATTTTGGTTACATTTACACTTGCTCATATTTTCCAGACAAAAAGTTAATGGTGCATCTCCCAAATGTCCCGGCTGCAACACTTTTATTGGTTCCACTATCGGGACGGAACCAATAATGGCAAGCCGCTATTTTTTTTTTATTAAAAAAAAGTCAATTTTAATGTTTTATTTAGATTACAAAAATAAATCTTAATAAAAATTATCCTATTTATGATGTTTTAAAAATTAAGATCTACGAAAGACTGATTTAAGATATTTTAATACCATTTAAGGCCTTAGTTTTATTTTGAAGAATTCAATGCCTTTTAAAAGACTTTTTAAGGACCCGTGGGAACCCTGTTATATGATAGAAAACAGAATATTCTTTCTTGCTTTTAGGACAGTACTACAGCTGTTAAAAAGCTCTGAGTCTCTTTTAATCTGCTGCTAAAACTGATCTAGGCTGGCCTGAATTATTCATATTTCTTATTAGCTGCACAAAGCTGCTCTTAGTGTTGAACATATCTTAAGGAGGGATAAGTTGATGTCTTTCTTTGTGTTGAATTAGACACAGTTTGATCATAATACCCAGCTGAGGCTGGGACTTGTATTTGGGATGTATTTAAAGAGAAGAAGAGATCAAGTAGAGATTTTAAGGCAGGGCTTCTTTATCCCTGAGGCATCTCAAATCTGCCTTTGGCTCCCATCCCATTTTGAAAAAATAAATAAATAAAATAAACAATTGTAATAAATTGATTGTCTTAAATCCATGTATATATCCTTCTTTTTGTAGACTTTGTAAAGATCTCCATCTAGTTGTCAAATTAGATGTCATCCTCACTGATGTGTTGGATTTCTTGGTGTGAAAAACAGCAGGGAGGTGAGAGCAGCACAGAGGAGAGGAATGTGCAGCTTCTTCTCAGTCATCCGTCGATTATTGAATGATTTTTCTTCTTTAGAGGTTATTAGTTGTAATAAAAGACCCAAAACAATCATTGTAGCTTTTTTCTGAAGCCTAAACTGAGTGTAAACCTAAAATCAATAATTAGCTGTAAGGGATTGAACCCTCTATCAGGTTTTACGTTTTATTTTTTTTTAGGAGGATATTTCTAGATGTACGGAAGAGGATTAGGACCACTGAAAAGACAAAAAAAAAGTTAACAGATTTTTTTTATTTTATTTGAGTTTAACATGGTGAAAAAAGTCAGAATTCTGACTTTATTCTCAGAATTCTGACAGCTAACAAACATGTTAATTCTGAGATTAAAGTCAGAATTCTGAGAAAAAAGTCAGAATTCTTAGCCTGGGTGCCATTCCGAACTTAGTCCCGCCCACAACGTTTGAGGTCGGGAAGTTTGGTCTGGCATTGCTCCATGGTAGCGCGAGTATGTTCGCACAATATCTGGCGGGCCAATCAAATTGTCAGGGCGGGCTTTATACGATGATGGACAGATGATCAACAGTAACGTAATCAACCACGTGACCAAAGCGCGCTTGGGTGACAACAACAATGGCTGCCGCTGGAGAGTTGAGGTGAGTAGATTCTGCTATTAGGTCTGTTCTAGAAGATATTAACAACAAATTAATTTTAAAAGAGGAACAGAGAAACGCGATCAAGGCTCATCTTCTTATTCTTGGCGTGCAACTGCACGCTTTGATTTTTGTTGACAACAACTATGCCTCGCTTAACATACGTCACGCACTCCGTTGCTCTTATTGGTTGTAGGTCTATCCAATTGAGTGCAGAGGCATTTTTTTTCCTGGTTCGTTCGAAACACGCCCCATAATCACAGCTCTATGGAGCAGCATCAGACTCATATTCTGACTAGAATTGAGTAGGACTACGTCAGGCTACAGAATTCTGAGATTAAAGTCAGAATTCTGAGAAAAAAGTCAGAATTCTGGCTTTTTCCCCATATTAAAATGAAAAAAAAAAAAAAATCTTTTAACTTTTTTTTTTGTTTCAGTGGCCCTAATCCTCTTCCGTATAGATGAATATTTAGCTTCAGTGAAATGGTTTAGGAATGTGGAAGATGACAGGGGCTTCCTGTAGGGGTGTAAATAATAATCGTTTTGTATCGATGCATCGACACGTCCGCAAGATAATCGATTAATGTTTTTTTTCTCCCTCCGGTCTATTTTTATCCATTTGCTCCTGGGCGTAATTCTTCCTCCCGTGCTGCGGTGGCGCTAAACCTATTTTGCCCTCCTACCTCGCTTCCTGGTTATACTCTTACAGCAGTGTGTTGCAGCAAGCTTCACACAGACATTTTTAAATTATGCTCAGTATTGAAGCGTGGTCTGGGCTACACGCTGTGGGTCTAGATACGGCCGAGGCGATGAGGAAGTGGGGGCGAGTTTAGTCCGACGACGGAGGGACAATGGGGCAAAAAGAGCGGAGATTCAGCTGGAAAAAGGCTCCCAGCGTTCTCGCGCACCTCGCTCTTCTAGCGGGTCAAACTTCACGAGTTGTTTTCCGCAATTTCGGTCATAAAAACAAAACTAGCCGGCCTCCTGTCTGGTGCACTGTTTGCGGTCAGCTACAATCTGGGAGAGGAGCAGCGGAGCGTCTCTCAAGGGGCGGTGACGTCAACACTCTGGAGCCTTCTTCTTCTTCTTTTTTTTAATGGCGGTTGGCAAACAACTTATAGCTGCATTACCGCCACCTTCCAGAATGGAGTATGGACCAGACAAACTATTATATTCTCCCTAAAATACCCGTTCTTCTTAGAAAATTAAAAATACCCCCAAAAACTACATCCCCAGATGACCTTTGAAACAATTCCCTTATATGTAGTTTATTTTTATTCCTGTCTAACTCTCTACACAACATCTCTCTTTCCTGAATATATTTATTACATTCTAAAAAAATATGTTGGACAGTTTCTCTGGAGCCGAGGTATTGCATTGAACTCATTACACTGATATTGTGCAGTATTTTTGCAGTATTTTTTGATGCAACTTTTCTACTTCTGTTATTTGCTGTTGTTTCTAAAGAAAATGCATAATGATATTACAGATTTCATTGATTTATTTCAAACTTGAAACTTTGTTTAGCCTGTAAGGTGTAAAAAAAAAATAAAAATAAATAATAATAAAAAAAAAATTAACCGATTAATCGATTAATCGAATCGAATCGTGGTGTATTCTTAAGTATCGAAAATAATCGAATCGTTGGATCAGGAAATCGATACTGAATCGAATCGCCATGATGGATGTGATTTACACCCCTAGCTTCCTGGGTAATTGAGAAACTGAGCAGAGCTGATGCATGTTGCAAAACATAAAAAAAGATGCTTTGAGTGCACCATTAAAGCAATGGTTAATGGCAGTGTGGGCTGTGATGCAAACAGTTTAGTATGTGTGTGGATAGCACGCCTACAACTCAGACAGAAAAGGCGTGCCTAGAAGCATTGAGAAAAGCAGTTACTGTAGCACAATTGCTTTTTCTTTTACTGACCGACCAAAGCTGCATTGGCCATTTATCACTAGGTTAAACATTGAACAGGATAAGTTAAAATTCTTAAGGTGGACATTCACTAAGACATGTTTATAGAGTGGCGAGAAACAGCAGGATGACTTCCATCCTGATGCTGTTTTATCTGAAGACGTGCATTAATGGTGCAAGAACACAGAATAGAGATAACAGCAATCCCTATAAAGTCCAATTAAATATATAAATCAATGTATTTCCAACATCTGATGAACATGACAAAATATTTGAACAGTTTTGTCCTTGTTTTTGAGATTCAAAGTCCTGCACTGCAAAAAACTAAATCTTGAAAAGTCATTTTTTCTTAAAATAAGTGCATTTGTTCTTGAATTGAGGAGATAAAAGAGACATCTTGCCAATGGAGCAAGACAATTTAAATTTAAACACAATTGCATTCTCTTATTTCAAGTGAATACTATCTAATTATCTTATTTTAAAAGTAAAAATACTGATTCCATTGGGAAATCTCATTTACCTACTCAAAACAAGGGAAAATAAACTTAATTTGAGAAATGTATTCTTATTTCTAGATTGTTTTTCCAGTGTGAGAATAACTGCTCAGTTAGGCAACAGATAAAATCTTTCTGACTGCATTAGATTTAGAGCAAGTAAGATATCTTTTCAAATAGATTTCTAAGAAATTGTAATTAAGTTATACAACAGGGGATGCATTGACTAAAAGGAGCTTAACGGGAAAAACTGAAAATATAAAATAGCTGGGCAACTTCTGGTGCAATGTTTCCGACTTATTCAGTTTCAGCAGAATTCTGCAGAGTTTAAAAATGTAACCCGGGCAGCATTCTGACAGCGATAAACAAAACACTCACTGTTCGTTGACGACAAAGATGCAGTTGTCTTGTGAGGGTAAGCCCGAGACAGGATGTTTGCAGGTCACCTTCCGCTCATTGTGGCTAATGAGAATGGAGAGAGAGAGAGAAAATAAAGATTAATAACTCGATGATGCGTGAACAAGTTTATTATTAATGTGCAATCCACCTTTCATACTGACAGCATGGTGATACTGAGGATGCCACCCACCCATCCCGCCAATCATAGCTGACCACGGTCATTTCCACCTTGACATAATTACACCACGCTACAGGCCCTACTTTACATGGCAGCCTGCTTGTCAGTGGAAGTCCCTGAATAAATGCTGCCTGGAGCAGCTTCTAACAAGGTTCCTTAGAATCAGAGATCGTTAGAAATGATGACTCTATTTAATCATAGCAACGAGCATGGAGGAATAAATAAGACTGAGTTTGAATTCTGTCATATGTAATTTGATTGATTCTGTATATCTGTGTATATAAGCAAAAAGACAATGATGTGAAATTTGGCTTTAAGATATATAAATAAATAGTACTTAATGGAAATAAACAGACAATATTTTTGTGAAGTAGGGGGTAATGCTCCATGACAGAAGGTAACCCTCAGCAGCTTGACATACTGACAACTTTAATTCTCCCACTGTTTTCATTAAAATATGGGAAAAAATAATTATTGTGCATCCAGGAAGCTTTTTCATTTCAAAATGTCAGAAACTGAACTCAACGCTATTTCTGACATTTTGAATTGATAAAGCTTCCTGGATGGGATGCGAAACGTCTTCAAACTTGGAAACAGAGCCCAGTGGATTTAACTTTTTTGAAAATAATGAATAGATTTTATTTTATACATATATATATATTAGGGGTGGTACGGTTCACAAAATCCACGGTTCGGTTTGGTTAACGGTTTCGTGGTCACGGTTTTCGGTTCGATTCAGTATATGTTGATTGTTACACCGAAATCCAATAAAAATTTATGAAATTAATGAAAAAATCCCCCAAAGAATAATGTATTGTAATTATTTTAAATGATCCGCAGAAACCATGGATAATTTCGGCATGTTTTGCTGCTTTGAATTTAATCATCTGGCGCATGCCCTCTACGATCTCCAAGGAACTCAGAGTGGAGCGGACGGGAGCCACAGTGGAGGCTGTAGGCTTTGCTTTGAGCAGCCGGTCTGGAGCGCAGCGGGGCGGAGCGCTGACGGAGTATGTGGGATTTCGGGGTTAGCATGACATGTTGGTCGTGTTGCTGTTAGCATAAACAAAACCTGTTGCACAATGCTTGCACACTGTTGCACTTTTATCCACAACTTTCGTTCCGCCGTCATTGTAGGTCACTCTAAATGCAAAGCGGTCCCATACAGCAGACCTATAAAGTGCTGCTGGCGCGTCTTCCAACTCCTGTTCTTTCCAACTCCCCATTCCGACACAATTCTCCACAACAACTGATTTTTTTCCCTGCTACACCCGGCTAAACTGCTTCGCTTCTTCTTGTTTACTACTGGTGGTTGGCTTTGATCGCAGTACCGCCACCTTCTGCTCTGGAGTGTAAACGCTTAGAAAGAAAGAGAGAAAGAAAAAGAGAGCTAACTTTACAGTTAATGCCATATAAGTTGATCAGGTTCGTAGGGCCCTATAATTTCCACGATCACGGAATCGCGGAATTGGCAAATTAACGCGGAATCTAGTGTAAACGCGGAATTTCTATATTTGACATGAAATTCTGTTTTTGTGTGGGAGAAGAACGTAAGTCGGGGGGGGGGGGGATGCACACCGGGGAACACAAATCTGGGCGACACAACCCCTCCCGCTCCGTCATTTTCACCCTCCCCCATCAAAACATTGAAAAAAATGGCGGGGCGGGTTTCCACAGCTCCGCTTTCGGCAAAAAAGTTGAGAAACACGACGCTTACATACTTGCTGTATTTTGCTTTGTTTTTTATGCACTTTAATTTGCTGTATGGAAAATATGATTCTTTATGAAATACTTTATAATTCTGAAATTGAGAGGTACTATTTTATTTTTTTACTTGAAAAAACTAATCGAGCACTTTTATTTATAACCATTGGTTCATAACCATTAGTACTTAGAGTGCAGTGTTATGTTGCATCATGCAGTAAAAGTACTGAGGAAATGTGTTTCTTTTACCTCAATAAATATAAGGTCATTCCTATTTTATTTGTGTACATTTTAATCATTACCATTAAAAGGAGATTCTTTTTACGACTGAAATAACAGTAAAGGGTAAAAAAACTTAATTCTCATAAATTAAAACGGAAAAAACGGAATTTGGGAAAAAATAAAACTGATCTTATAGGGCCCTAGGTTTGCCTGTAATTTGACCAGTCGGTTGAAGAATCACAGATCCACAAGCAGATAGAAGAATAAATAGATTAAATCTGAATTAATATAAATAAAGCAGGTGTAAAGGAGCAAAGCTACCAGGCTTAGGCGCTAATGTTTAGAGCTACTTCTTCTCTAATACGGTGCTCTGATTCTTTTCTTTCAATGATATTCAGAATAAGTCCAAAAATAACAAATGTTTAAATATGGGGTTCTTAGAAACTGAAAAGAGCAAATACCAAAGATGAAATGTGGGTTTTAGTTTCAGTTTAGCCTGGATAGAGGCAGTTTCCCAACTTCTGCTCTATAATTATAGGAGGCACTGCTGGCAGCGGAGCACACTGTGCGGTCTGGGGGCAGACCAATGGCACCATACTTCTCTGGTATCCTTTACGCATGCCTGTCCTACCCTGCACATATGCTGGGTAATAATTTATGGAGAAAAGGGAAAGCCTGGATATACCGTATATTTCCATACCAGACTCTGTGATCTTGAATTCATATGTGTATATATTTCCAGCAGGGAAACCCGTCTAAAAACCTGTTTTTCCCTCTTTTGTTATATAATCTACAGCCCGTACTCACTACGTGCAAAACAACAGCTTAATTAAGCAGTAATTATGTATTTAATTGAAACAAAAATAAACAGCAACACTCAGCAGACTGCAAATAAGAACGTTTTTGCTTCAAAGATGTTGCTCACTTTTTAGAGAAGTGTCTGAATAGCGGTACAGTATCTATGCTTTCCTGTTATGAAAGCCAAACAAACTCCAACCCAATGAAAAGGGACTATTCAGGCTTTGACTTGTGGCCGTCCTTACTGGGGGCTCCAAAAATGCAACCCATGTCGCTCTGTTTTTCTTCTACGGCGAGCGATGCTAAGGGGCTTTCAGATGCAATGTGACAATTGCCCCGCTGAGCAATGAATAGTATTATTTCCAGTGGCTTGTGACACACTATGACAGTCTGAAGCGCTGCACATGTTGCTCTGCGAGCTCCGGCATCATCAGCTGTAACGTCGGTTATGCTCCGAGGGCCTCCATGGTGTGATGAAAACCACCATGAACAATGTAAACAACCATCCAGGCTGACATGAAGGGCAAATAGAAAACTGAGCTTCACATCATATCTTTATTCCTTATTCCGCTTGTATTTTGTGTTCAGCTCTAAATATTTCTGTACTTTTTAAAAGTGAAAATTATATTGAGTTATCGTGTTAAAAAGCTGCTGCCATCTATTTTCCTTCATCATACTAATAATAGTATGTATAATAGTATGATGAAGACTATTAAACATTATAAGGTCGTTCCATGACATGAAAGAAAACTAAACAAAGTTTTATCTTGTTTTATAAAGAATATAATACTGAAAAACACTTATAAATAACTAACCGTAATAAATAACTAACCGTAATAAATCAAAGGGTTTTTGTTTACATTTTAAATTTTAACTGTATCTATGAATAATAATGTGTGAATAAATGTTGTTTTATAATTGTCACATTCAGAATTGTTTGATTTCTGTAGCATCTTGCAGGAATAATCTAATAATCATAAAAAACTAAAAACAAATGGATTTATTTTCCATTTTTGTTTTATTAAACTGTTGTATATAAAAAAACGTAGTTTCAACTGAAAGTTGTCAAACAAATGTTGGTACTAGAGCTGCAACTAACAATTATCTTGTAAACTGATTAATTTGTAGTTTACTTTTTAAATTAATTGATTAATAAACGGAAGGCCGAAGGTTCCTTACAGAAGAATTTTTAACAGAATTAAACCAGGTGAAACTAAAATGTTTCCACTTAAGGAGTTGTGGATAGAGCAGACTGACGGATGAAAAAGTTTTTTCTTCTTAATTGCAAAATGTTTACGTATTTTTCCACAATTTTGCTCTGATTGGGTTCCTCTGTCAGCTAAAGGCAGGTTTTATAGTTAACGATTAATCGATTACTTAATTAGTTGACGATTATTTCAATAATCGATTAATCACGATTAATTGTTTCAGCCCTAATTGGTACACTGCAAAAATGATCTCAAAATGAGTAAAATGTCTTAAATTAAGGGTATTTACCCTTAATTTGAGCAGGTAAATAAGATGATTTGCCAATGGAAGTAGTATTTTTAGTCTTAAAATAAGGTATCTAGATAAAATGCACTTGAAATAAGACAATGTAATTGTTTTTTCTTATTTTAAGCATAAATTGTCTCGTTCCATTGGCAAAGTGTCTCACTTAAATCCTTAATTCAAGAAAAAATGCACTTATTTTAAGAAGAAATTACTTATTTAGAATTCATTTTTATGCAGTGTACATTATCAGATATGGTACTAAATATGTAGTTCCATGAATTTGTATTTTAAGTTTTCCACCTTTGTTAATCATAATTAGTGCCACTTAAAAAAGTTAATTTATATGTTTTGCATTTTAGCATCACTCTTTAAAATACCAACAATATCTGAGTATTTTTGTCAGCTGGAAAAATGTCCACCAGTTTGAGAACACATGTAAACCATGTAGGACGAATTAGAGCTTCAAAGACGCTCCTAAATCACTACAACAAGAAGACCCTCCTTTTAAAACTTAATGCGCACATGTTGACTATCGCACGAAAGGTCGAGCTCCTTACAGTTCACCTTTATGGACAGAAGCTATTTCAGAGGGTCCTGTACATTCCCAACGTCCCCCATGTGATGTTAGAGGACAGAGGGTTCTTGAACCACATAGACTGCACAGTTA